CCCCGCGGCTTTGCAGACCAGGGAGACGCGGAGAAAGCCCCGGAGTACACGGGCGGCAGGACCGCGAGGTCCCGCAGTCCGTGTACTCCGGGGCAGCCCTGTTCGTAACTGCGGATCCGACATAAGTCGGATCCGCGTAAGTCGGGGACTGCCTGTACATATGTCTGTTGTGTAATTGTTACCATCTAAAGCAAATTCCAGTGTATTTGGTTAATGCATAACAATTCTTATGGTATCTACATTAAATGTATATTATAGAGCCTTAATTTACAGCATTTACTGAAGAGCAGTCCATGTGGTAACAGGGCCCTTGAATTGTTAACACCAAATTACTATGTGCTGTTGGCAGTAATGCGGGCACACAACCTAACTCCATTTCTACTTAGAAATAAAATGCTCAGCAGCTTTAAACTATATAGCCAGACAAATGGAGTTCAGAGAAACTGCTTATATTACCATTGAAATAGATGCAGGAAAGACTGAGAAATAGATGCCAACAAGATGCATCTGTAACACCTCTTTCTTTACCTTCAAGTATTTACTATGCTTTCTTTACTTGGTAGGTGATCCATTGCAGTGGCTATTTGAAGATACGTCAGTATATGCTGGACATGTCCTTATATGATTCTTGCTATCAAATTGTAGGACTGGTGGCTGTGGGTCAGTCTTTGCCTCCCAGTGCAATCACTGAGATCAAGCTTCACAGTAACATGTTCATGTTCAGAGCAAGTCTGGACTTAAAACTTATATTCCTTGATTCCAGGTAAGCAAAATCATTTGGTTTCCATCATGTAGCATCTGGAAGTTGTTTTGTCAAAGTATTAGGGTTTCTAAATACACCTTTAAAATGAAGTGTATTGAATTTTTTTTAATGATTACATTATCAATTAGAATTGAACTAAAGCACTGTAAAAGTATGTGGAAATTTCATCCTCAGAAAATAAGGCAGTGTTTTAACTTTAAAATATCAAGCCTGTGGAACCTGTTTCTATACTAGAGTTATTTGTGTAATGGTGTGTCCAGAGGCCTTAACTGAGGTCGGTCTAGGCATTGTGCTAACACAGTAAAACACTTCATGTCCTGAAGAGTTTAAAATGTTAGCAGGCACGTTAGATTAAAAAATGAAAAAAAAGGAGCACTGTTATGCCTCTCTTACAGGTACTGAGGCACAGAGATATTAAACGACTTACCCAAGGTGCCACAGGAAGTCTGTGACAGAGCTAGGGACTGAATCCGATTTCCCAAGTCCTAGTTCAGTACCTTAGCTGAGAGACTAATGTTCCTAACCTTGCCTACATTTTTGACTTATGAAATGATACACGTGACAGAACTGTCAAATGGAAATTAAAAAAAACCCATTATATTCAATCTCTTCAGAAAAAGAGTAGCTATTGGGACACCTTGCAAGACTGAGTAGGGCACAAGCTCTGCCTCGATTTATGGGAAATAGCCAACAGAACTATCTCAACACACTCTACTGATAGAACCAATTTGGATACTAAAAACTCCCACATGGGCAACTGAAAAGCACAGATCAGAGCTCAGGGACACATGAAATCAGTCATCTTTTTTAAACAGAATTATGCCTTATAATATAGCTTGATTATTTGTATGATCCAATTTTAGACATCTCCAGGGAAGACCCTTCTATCAGATTTCTAGTCTGATAGGTTTAACTACCGACAGGCAGATAATGCTAAAAACAATACAAAAAAACCTTCCACATTACTAGGACAGTGGAACAAAATTTTACCTAGTTTTTCACTTCCAAGACATGCTGTAGTTTCAAGGAAAAAGTCTATGTCCAATCCACAGGAGAAGTTTTTTTTAGGGCAATTTAAACATTCATAAGTATATTGTGTCTCCAGGCTAAGCTCAATGAAACCTACTGCTGAAATGTAAGTTACAATTTCATGTAGGTTTTCACTTTATTTTTTTGCATGTTAAATGCAACACATCCGGTTGCTAAGCACTGAAATCTGGTCTACTCTACCAAATTAATCTTAACTATATTTGCTCAGAGTTGTGAAAAATGTGGTGCTCTGTGTAATCTAGCTAAGCAGCCTAAGCTCCGGTTATAGACACTGTTAGGATGCCAGAAGAACTCTTCTGTTGACATAGTTAGTTACCACCTCTCAGAGATGGATTTTCTCTCCAATGATGGAAGAACACCTTTTGCCATTGTAGTAAGTGTCTGTACTACAGTGATGCAGCTGCAGTATTGAATGTGTGCTGCTGTAGCATATCTAATGTAGATATGGCCTAAGATTGAGCATTAGGCTTGTACATGGCAGAGCTAAGATAAGGATGAAGTGCTCTAATAGGACCTCGAGAGGTCATCAAGTCCAGTCCGCTGCCCTCACATTAGGGCTAAACTCCAGCTACGCTATCCCTGACAGCTGTTTATCTAACTTGGTCTCAAATATCTCCAATTATTGAGATTCCACAACCTCCCTGGACAATTTATTCCAGTGCTTAACCTCCCAGACAGTTAGGAAAGTTTTTCCTAATGTCCAACCTAAGCCTCCCTTGTTGCAACTTAAACCCCATTGCTTCTTTTCCTGTCCTCAGTGGTACCAGATTTGCCTGTTATTCTTGGGTATGCTCATTTTGTTAGAGTTAACCTCCTACATAAGAGTAACCCTGTCAGTATGCTGCTTGTGTTACTGGTATTTTTATATGGAGCTTTACTTTTCCCTTCTATCCTCTTCCAGTGGAGCTCTCCTGCAGGATATGCTCCCCAGGACTGAGTTCTTCCCACCCTAGAATCAGAAGAACTTCTGAGAGAGAACTGGTTACTCAGCACTCACAAGCTGACCCTTATATGTCCCTGGATTCAGTAGGCTGGCTTGCATAGCAGTACCAAGCTGTGACCCTCATGTGCCCTTGGACTTAGTGGCCTGGGTTTAACAGCAATATAAGCTGTTGCCCTTATAAACCTCCCTGTTCCCACTTTCCCACCACAATCGTTCTGCTAATAACTTACTTGATGAGCAAACCCCACAGGATTTTTGGACAATACAGGGATCTTTAGCTTAGGTACAAGGAACATTGTTGCAGAGTGAATGGGGAAGCCAAAACAACACCCCCAAGGTGAGGAGAGAAAAGCAACCAGCTTTAACACTTAATGTTATTTATTTGTAGGTAGTAACCATACAAGGGGAGCCAAACTTAAATCTATCTGTGTTAGGGCTAGCAAGCCATAATTTTGATTAACTAAGGCAGGGTAGGGAAGGCTAATACAGGGATGGGGAGAAGAGAGGTCTCATCACTCCGTGAAGTTTGAACTGATCGAGGTTCCCAGGTGGTCTAGAATGTTGCAGCACCCCAGCATGATCAGGTGAAGATGAAGTCCCAATGGAATTGATGAAGATTTTAGATCCAGGCATCAGAATACTTTACTTGACCATAGGTAGGGTTTTTTTTGTAGGTTAAAGGGGGAGGGGACACCAAATTACTCCCCTGAACCATCTGTTTACCCATAAACAAATCTAAAGTTGTGTTGTTTAGGCTAGACAATAACAACTGATCATTCCTGGCTATGGGTTGGGTTCCTTTGAGGGAGCTCATAATGCAGTTAGGCAATTTCAGTATTTTGAATACCAGTAGAGGATTTATTACTAAAATTGGTCTGATAATTATTGATCTGGGTGTGAGCAGATGCGGGTTCATTATTATCTGGAGCAGAGGTTTCCCACCAGACAATGCTGTCTGGCTTTCTGTATCCCACAGTGCAGTGCTTGTTTTGGAAGTGCTGTTCTCCATTTTGTATGCTAATGGAGATGTCTTTCTGTCCTATCTTGGAAACAGCTAAGAGTGTTTTCTTAAGGGTAACACCATTTTCCAGAGGGGTTTTTAGGTGCATCTTCTGCCTTTTTATTGCTTTGGCTTTAATTCAAGCAGAGGGAGGGAAGGATCTTCAGTGAGTGATGGAGCCTGGTTCTCCCAAGAACACTGAGCTGATAGGTAACATCAGATGTTAAGAACAAAAATTTTTCTCCCTCATCCTTGCAATGACCTTTTATGTACTTGAAAAAGGTGTTCATGTCCCTTCCTCAGTCTTCTTTTCTCTAGATTAAACAATTCATGTATTCAATTTTCCCTTAGCAATCATGTTTTCTAGACTTTATAAATCATTTTTGTTGCTCTTCTCTGGACTTGTTCTAGTTTGTCCACATCTCTCATGAGATGTTGGCACCCAGAACTGGCTACTGTTCTTCAGTTGAGGCATGGAGCAGAAGAACTACTTCTCATCCTGTGATTCAAAGTGGAGTTGGCTGGAGGCATGAGTGTTTTCATAAGAGAGAGTCTAATCAGAGATGCTGATAGGAACACAGTGAACAAAAGGTATTTTTAAACCACTGTAAAAGATACAGCCAGTACTGTGCCCACTCTTGCCAGCAAGCAAAAGGATGAGGTACTGCCCCTGTTCCACAAACGCAATCTTGTGCCAAAGCGGCCGCTCTTGCGCAAAAACTTGCTGCCTGTCTATACTGGCCGTGTGTTCTTGTGCAAGTAAACTGACGTTCTAATGTATAAAATCAGGGCTTCTTGCTCCCGCTCAGGAAGAAGCCCTTTTGCACTAGAGCTGTTCCAGAAGAGGCCAGTGTAGACAGGCAACATGAATTTCTTGCTCAAGAAAGCCCTTGGTTAAAATGGCCATCAGAGCTTTCTTGTGCAAGAGAGCGTCTACACTGGCATGGATGCTCTTATGCAAAAGCACATCTCTTGTGCAAATGCACATGCCCGTGTAGACACTCTCTTCTGGAAGAGTTTTTGCACAAGAACTCTTCCGCAAAAGAGTTCTTGTGCAAGAAGCTGCCAGTGTAGACATAGCCCTGGCGTATCCAGCATTATCAGTAGTGCTGGCCAGCTACTTTCCCTTGGCATGCGCCAGCCCGGCTGTCCAAATTATTATTACCTGTTGTGAGAGTATATTAGAGACAGGAAGGTATTGCTGTGTACTCTCATCTACAGTAGAGTCCGGGTTATCCAACATTTGGTAATCCGACATTCCGCTTTATTCGACCCTGCAGCTCCCAGGGATGAAGCGGTGCCGGCAGGAGCAGCATCAGCGGCTCCAGGAGAGCGACGGGGCAGCGAGTGGGACCATTCTCCCGGCCCGCACCCGGGACCTGCAGGGAAGGAAGAGGCCAGGGCCAGGCAGGGATGGGGACCAACCGGCGCCGGCTACAGTAGATTCCCTATCATCCGACATTTTCGGTAATCCGACCACCTGTCGGTCCCGTTTAGGCCTGATAATCGGGACTCTACTGTATTTGTAGTGTACCCACACAGGCAAGGGAATAATCATGCCCTACATGGTAATAGGAGAAGATGGCAAAATGTATCTGCCTTAAGGAGAAACAATTTCAGCTAAATTTAAACATACAGGATTTCATATAGCCAGATAGTCAAAATAGTCAAAAGCAATCTGTGGTATGTGTAACACTGACAGACCCCAATCATCTGTGTGTGTGTGTGTGTGTGTGTGTGTGTGTGTGTGTGTGTGTGTTTGGGGGCGGGGGAAAGGGGAGAGGAGAGGGTGGATTGAACCTGAGACCTCTGTAGCTAAATACATGAGCTAAAAGCCACAGGTTCCTTGGCTAAGATGTAGTACAGACTCATTAGTCTCTCTAAGTGGTCCTAGTGGCAATAGATGGGACAGAGTACCACACCTAGGAGATGTGTATCCATTCATAGCCACGGTTTCAAGGGACATTGGAGGGGATAGTCGATAATTTTAGCCATCCCTGTTCCCCTTTGTATTTTCCTTGTCGATAGCCCCCTTTAACATCCCCAAAAGGATACCAGTGATGGTTGGAGTAGAAATAAATACAGCTGCAAAACTTTTTCAAACTCTGAGTTAAGGAGTACTCAAATACCCATCAAGCAGGAGTACTGCGCCCTCCCCCCTCTGCACTCTTAAAGGGTCAGAGAAGAGCCGGCATGCAAAGACGCTGGCTCAGTCTCCGGTCCCCCGCCAGGTCTCAGGACAACCCTCATGCTTCCTCTCTGTGTCTGTAAAAGGGACACAGCAGTGGCAGCCTGTCCTGCCACTTCTGTGTCTCTTAAAAATGCAAAGTGGCAGCGTGAGGGTTGTTCTGATACCTGGCAGGGGACCAGAGAATGAGCCAGCATCTTTGCACTTCGGCTTCTCTCTGTCCCTTTAAGAGTGCAGAGAAGCAGCTGGGAGTTGTGCTCAGATGCAGCCTAAGCTGGAAGTGAGCACTTTAAGCACCCTTCCTTAACGACTAGTTGAGTAGTCCATGGAATTTCCATCGACTACTTGACTAATAAATTAATCGCTACTTAACATCCTTACTCTGGGGGGGTGAGGGGTAGTTTGACCATTTTATGGGTATCTGCAAAGGAAAGGGCCTGCAGATGCAATATCTAGCAATGTTCAGATCCAGGATTTTCATTTGAGCTGGTCTTTGAGAATTAGTTAAGCAAGAAAGCCCCATGAAACCACTTTGTTTTAATTCCACTGAGCTCTGAGTGACGGATGTAAATGAAATCTGATCAGGGCTCAAGGTGCAGTAATTCAATGGCAGTTGAATGTACCCATCACAGTTACAGGGTAAACTCTCTCTTAAACCCATTTTAATCACTTACCAGGGCACCTGTTATGTGACTCCACATCCAAGCTTCCTACACCTCATCCTGGATGCAACCTTGTGATCCAATTGACCTTAGATGGGGCTCTGGGGCTGTTTCTCAACTATGTTAACAGGCACAGCGGAGTGTGGCAGCTCCTAGCTGTTTCACTTGTGGAACCTGTTACCAGAATAGATTAAAATGACTCAGATCGGAGCTCCAGAACATAAGAACAGCCACACTAGGTCACACCAATGGGCTGTCTAGCCCGGTATCCTGTCTGCCCACAGTAGATAATTGCAGGTTTGAGAATACCCAGAACAAGGCAATTTCAAATGATTCATCCCCTGTTACCAAATCCCACTTTGTCAGTTGAAGGTTTGATGCCACCCAGCACACCACAGGGGCGTGCCCCTGACACTCTCTCAGCTAATAGCCATCGATGGACCTGTCGTCAACAAGGAGGAATGTGGAACTCTGTGTGCAGCCTGGGGCCAGCGGGAAGTCCTGCTGACTCCGGGCTGCATGCGGGTGCCAGGTTTGAAATACACAAGAGTCCCCAGCAGGGGCTCTTGCGCATTTCAAAGCGTCAGTACAGCATGGAGCGCGGGGTCAGCAGGCCACTCATAGTCCCATCCCTTGACCCCGGGCTTCATGCTGCACTTCTGCTTTGAAATGCCACATGGAGCCAGGATCAGCTGGGAGTCCCCAGCTGACCCTGGGCTCCATGTGCGCAGCGCCACACAGCTGATCCCTGGCTCTGCGGTGCTGAATGCATGGAGCCAGGGGTCAGCTGGGGACTCCTCAGCTGATGGCGGGTTCCGCATGGCATTTCCCCAGACCGTGGGGTTCACAGCTGATCCTCGTGCTGGAGTCCCCAACTGATCCCAGGCTCCACGTGCACAGAACTGTACAGCTGAGCCAGGGGTCAGCTGTGTGGCAGCTGCCCCTTTGAATGCTGCCTTGGTGTTTCAAAGCAGCTGCACCGCACAGCTGATTCTGGGCTCAGCTGTGCAAAGCTGCCGCTTTCAAGTACCCCCTCTTCCCCTCCCTTTGCTGCCTCTGCAGCGGGGCAGGAATCAATTAGTCGACTGACTATCTGATAAGCATTTGCTTATTGGATAGTTAACTAGTCAACTAGTCCTTAACAACCCTAGTCCTCGATGAACATATCTAATTCTTTGTTGAATCTAATTATATTTGTGGCCTTTACAACATCCCACAGCAACAAGCTGACAGGTTGACTGTGTGTTGTGTGATGAAGTTCTGCCTTCTGTTTGTTTTTAAACCTGCTGCTTATTAATTTTATTATGTGAAAGAGTAAACAACACTGGCCTAATACCATTCATGATTTTATAGACCACTGTTAAATACTTCCTTAGTCATTTTTTGTCTAAACTGACCTGAACTTTTTAAAAGCTTCGGAGGGATAGCCAGTCATTAAGATGTGGAAGATAATGTGTAAGCCATGCGATATCCCCATTTATACCATTTGCACAAGAGTTAAACTTGTGAATGAAGTTAAGTTCCAACCCTTCTCTGTGTATTTGGCTTGTGGAATTAGTCTGAAACAAAATGGCGACTTGGAGATCCAGTAATGAATGTCCAAGAAGATTAAAGTGTTCTCCAACACATTTTTGTGTATTGCCCTTTCAGATATCTGATTTGTGTCCATTAATTCTTTCCCATAGAGACTGTCCAGATTGGCCAGTACCCACGGTGCTGGGGCATTGCTGACATTTGAAGCATAGATCACATTAGTAGATGTGCAGTTAAATGAGCCTCTGATTTGGTTGCTGATGTGATTGGGTCTAGTGGTGACATAGTTTGTGTAGATGTGTGGGCAGAGTTGGCACCGGGGCTGATTGCAGGGGTGGGTTCCTGGCTGATTATGATGGAGGTGTGTTGCATGGTTACTGAAAATAATTTGTTTGAGGTTAGGGGGTTGTCTGTAAGAGAGAATAGGCCTTTCCCCCAAGGCCTCTGAGAGTTATGGGTCATTTTCTAGGATAGGTTGTAGATTGTTGATTATGTGTTGGAGGGGTTTAAGTTGTGGACTGTAGATGTCAAGTGGAATTCTGTTCTTTTCTCTTGTGGGCCTGCCTTGAAGTAGTTCATGTCTGGGTACTTTGTCTCTGTCAGTCTGTTTTTTCACTTCTCTGGGTGGGTATTTCAGTTTTAACAATGTTTGATATACATCCTGTTTGTAATCTTCCTTCATAGACGTTAATCATTTTTACTGTCCTAATATATCTTCACAATAAGGTAAGCAGAACGGCACAGTGTGAGCATACTATGGATTTATAGAGTGGCATTATGAGATTTTCTGTTTTATTATCTATTCCTTTTCTAGTAGTTCCTAACAGTGTTAGCTTTTTTTCTCTCCCAGAAGAACAAAGCCCATAAAGCAAAAGGTAAAACCAATTAAAGGTCTATACATCTAGGTCTGGTACATCTTAATCTTTCTGTGAAAAGCTTTTGTGATTTCCCCTCAGCCAAGCTAACCACCCATCATCTCTTTCTGGAAGAAACAGACTGTCCTGATGACACTGGACTGTCCTTGTCAACCTGTCAGCTTTCACTGATACTCTAGGCAGTCCACTAGCCACTCACTCAACCTCCATGCTTTTCTAGGCCCAGGGTCCTCTAATGCAGTGATTCTCAGCCAGAGATACATGTACTCTTTTCCTCCTTTAACTTCCAGGCATTGCTGTCATTCCTTCTCCTTTCAGCTTCCAAAATGGAATAATTGCCTGCCATCCTTTAGGCTCTTGGCTTGAACATATTTATAAGACTGTGACCATGGCCACAGTAGAATTATCCTTTCTATGTTCATACATTTGCAAAGGCAAGAGAAAATGTGTCAGTATTAAAAAATAATAAAAAATTACATTGCCCACTCAACCAACAGCTCTTCAACTGGGTCCTTGTGAAGAGGTTGATGTATGTTAGTAGCCCCAACGTTGATGCTAATAAGATAAGCAAAGTAAAAATCGAATGCCAAAATAAATTAATGGACACTGTTCACTTCCTGGTGCACAACACTGCTGTACCTTGTATTTGGAAAGTGTGTCAAGGTTTTAAATTTCTGGAAAAGATGATTGTGTCTGTTTTCGCTGAAGCCTTTTAGCACTTGATAAGTTGGCAAAAGCAATATTAGTTTACTGAAACTGAATATTTCTGGATATGCTGCTTATGAGTCATCCCTTCCTCTTCTAGGGTGACTGATTTAACTGGATACGAACCCCAAGACTTGATAGAGAAGACCCTCTACCACCATGTTCATGGCTGCGATGTCTTCCATTTACGATATGCTCACCATCTCTGTAAGTAATTCGCATAATATGATTGGCTCAGACTTCTAGAGTCTGAAGTAGTCAGGAGTTCTGCAAACAGGTACTGTATGGTTCAAGGAAAACTAACCCAAAAAGGGCCAGATCTCAAATGGTCAGCACCCATCATTGAGACCAGATTTTCAGAAGTATTCAGCACCCATTCAGGTAGCAAATAAATGGTCTGGTTTTCAAATCATCCAACATGCTGTGTTCTTTTTAAAATGTATGTGGCTACTTATTTTGTTGCCCAAATGGGAGCAGAGCTGTTTTGAAAATCTGTCCCTGATTGTGGGTGCTGAATTCTCTTGAAAAATTGCTTAATAATCTTGGTTTGAGAAAAAAAAAAGTTGTGCAACAATTTCATGGTGTCTTGCAAGCACATTGATAATAATCAATGTATGTCTAAAATGCTGGAAGTAATAAAAACAAACATTCTGAAATGCATGTTCCTTAGTAGCATGTGAATGAGCATGGTATAAATAGTGAGCAACAAGAATGGTTAAAACAGGTATAAAATGTACAAATTTCTGTGCCTCCATAGAGCATTGTTATAACTCCCCCACCATCCATCAAAATTGCCTGAGTATGAACAGTAAAAGATTGGCAGATCTGAATGTACACAACTTAGACTCTATGAAACAGTCTGATTATTAACAGTCACCTGATGTTAATCTGGAGAGAAAAATCTTACATCTGATTTACATCTTACATCTCTTAATTAGGGAACTAAAAAACCTGAGATAATTAATGCTTTTAAAATAAAATAAAACAAAACTATAAGACAAGCATTAGAACCATGAAAGAAACAATCACACTAAAAGTATAAAGGCTGTAATAAGAATGGCAAGAGTAGTAGATGTGCATATTTTGCTGAACACATGCAGATATAAAAATAGTGTCCTGTTTTAAACATTTAGTAGTTTCCAGGTTGAAGAAAAAATATTGATACTTCAGAGAGTTTTCTTATTTCTACAATACCATCAGTGTGCAAGGAATTGCTGTACAACAGGGGAAGCTTACCACAGCTCATGAGTGCCTGCCTAAAACACTTATAATCTACAAAACAGGAAAAGTGAAGCCATTTCAATGCAAACAAAATACTTTGTTTCAGCTTTGTCTTTTCTCCTGAGCCTGCTTGCTTTGTAGGGAGGGTTCAGTGCATCAAAGCTGTTACAATTCCATTGTTTCTGATTGCTCCATAAATTGCTGCCAGTTTATACAGGAACGAGATCCTTATGCCAGGGCAGACATAGTACAACGCACAGCTGCTGGCATTTCTTTGCCATATAGCTGCTTCCTGAAAGGGAACCTGCATATGCACAATGCTCAGTATAATGGGAGAGGTGCAGGTTAAACTCTGCACTTCCTTGAACCTGTTGTTTCCCAGGTCACATCTCTACTTGCAAGAGGATTGACTGGTGATCAACCCTCCAGGGGTTCGATTTAATGGGTCTAGTAAAGACCCACCAAATCAAATGCTGAGGGCTCCCCCGTTGGCATGGGTACTCCTCAGTGTGGCAAGGAGTGAGGGAAGATGGAAAATTTTCTTCTGTTGGCCTCACAGTGGGAGGTCAACCTCAGAAAATTGGTACAAGGTACATTGATTCCAGCTACGTAATTCATGTAGCTGGAGTTGCGTTTCTTGCATTGATTTTTCTCCACCAGTGTAGACCTGGTCCCAGTGTAATGCTTAAGACTTTGAGGACGACACTATTGGTGTTTGCACTTGCTAGGCTGTTGGGGCACCAGCCACTGACCATGCAGTTGTAGGGAATCCAGTGTGTCCAGGAGAAACTAAGACAATTACTCTTGCAATAGCAAGAGTAAGATTGAAAGATCAGTTTCTCTATATTTGTAACCGTTAGCACAGGCTGGTGAAAGATGCATTCTAATGAAATCTGTGTAGCCTTTTAAAATAGCCATTTATGACAGACCAGTTAGGCTAGCCCATCTAACCAATATTTTCAGCCTTCACACTCAACCAGGCAGGGAACCACAACAGCCATTCAGAAATGGTAAAAGAAAACTTTAAATCAAACAGCCAAGAGTAAAAAGCAGCTGAACCCTAACCAGCTGATTGCAGTGAGGATGACTTGGGCCTACACAAGTTACCTTGGTAATGGACACTTCTCTCCCAGAAGGACATCACTGAGGTCTCAGGCAGCAGATGACAGAACAATTTAATGCAAGGTCAACAGCAAACTGAGCTAACATTCTGTATTAGAATTGTGGCCACTATCCTTTGTCCAACATGCTTTCTTCAGAGATTACCAACAGCAGCAGCACAGGATAGGGATGTGAACAACTAGTCAACGAGTTGCTTCCCCACACTCCCCCCTTGCTACCTCTATCAGAAAGCAGCAGCCAGCGGGTGAAGGGGGGAGTAAAGGAGGGGCTGCTTCAAAGTGGCAGCACCGCATGGAGCCTGGGGCCAGCTGGGGACTGCTTGAGTCTCCCACTAACCCCATGCTCCCTGCAGCGCTTTCGCCTTTGATATGTAGCAATAGCACTGGGGCTGTTATACTTAAAAGGTGGAGGTGCCCTTATGGACTAATCAAATAGTCAATGCAAATTGCATCAATTAGCCAATTAATCTAAATTTAACATCCCTAGCACAGGAGACACACTGTTCATGCAGAATTAGGAAGTGAAACTGGAGTGCTATATTTACTCCTCATTTCTTTTGCAAGCTTTAAAACATTGTCTTAATAGAGGACCTAAAACAGGAATTAAGAAAATGAGAAGACAACTGGCAAAACAAGGGTGGAGCAGAAAGAACTCTGCTGTGGATGCATAGAGCAGAAGGTGCTCTATTACTGTTAATTTATGCATTGGAAGACTTATCTTGAATTCATATCATCTAGTGATTTAGAGAAACCTGAGAATTAGACTGTATGACTGTATTTTGAGCTGGGAATGTGAGTCTCAGCTTGAGGAGACCTACTCATGCTAGCCCTGATCAAGTTAGTGCCTTAAATACAGTGTAACAACAGTGACGTCACTGTCAGGAAGGGGTGGCCACCTTGAGCACATGCTTAGTGGTGGTGATGGGCACGTATGTGACGCACCTAGCCCCTCCTGATCCTGTGGCTACATTTTATTTTTAGCATGTTAGCTTGATGAGTAATAGCAAGACTGTCTGCTTGAGCTGAGACTCACTCCCCTAACTTACTTTTGGAAAACTTAGAACACAAAGCCAAAATGAGAGAGTGTCATTGAGAGGCTTTGAGTTCTTTAGAGCACAGGTAAACATGAAAGCACGATGCACAGAGATGTAACTGGATAAGTCTGATTAGTAACATCACAGATGTACAGTAGCATTAATCAGAGTTGTGATACTAAATCCTAAAACAGCAAATTGAAGAATGAGATTCTTTGTTTTTGTCCAAGAGCCTAACCTTTCAGTTAATTTATATTTTAGAGAAACAGGGCAACTGAACATGGTATAAAAAGCCAGACAACTCAAAAGGGACTCTGAGGTAAAAGAAGCAAACAATATGGCATCTACCATGATGGATTACTGGTTGCTCTCTCAAAGGATGCTGCAGTTTACCTTAGTAGCTTCAAAATGAACATGGACTTGTCTATTGGTGGAGCAGGAGCTAACTCCAAAGCCAGAAAGACCTAGTCAGAGTAATTTTGGAGGGTATTTCCTGAGGAATTCAGGCAAAAGTGATTGGATTTGAAGAAAAGTTTAATGAGTTACCACTTGTGTAGATGGAAATGAGAGGACGCTATTGTGAAACTACCTGCCTACTGTAATTACAAGCATACTCAAACTTGGGGGAAGGCAGTACCAAGAGCAAAGGTTCTGATCTTTCCATAACTCGTTTAACTTAAATATCTAGCTCTAGCATGTCAATCTCTCTAACCAGGTCCTTCACAACATGCACATCACTGTGGCATCTGACCACTATCAGAATTACAAGAGCATAATTAGCCCCAAAACCAAAAAACAGGTCATTAACTACCAAATGATAAAGTACAGTACTATGGGTGCTCTTCTATTCCATCCCTACTACTGGATGTATCACCATCAAAATGACTCTGTGAATACAAGTAATCTGATGAACCCAAAAGTTTTATTTCAAGTGTTCATTTTCTCCACCACCACTGGATTAAAGTTGAAAATTATTGCTTGTCAGGTCCACTTATTAGCTTGATCCTGAATTGAAAAATCAATCTAATTCCATCTGAGAGCTTTAGCATCCAGTTCAGTGCAATGTAGACTCAGGGTGCTTTAGAGTAAGGTCACACCTCCACTTACGGGAGGATTGACATTCTGCAATCACTTTTCCAGGGTTCGATTTAGTGGGTCTAATAAAGACTTGCCATATTGGACACTAAGGATGCCCCTGTTGGCCCTGTTATTCCTTGCTGCTGCGAGGAGTAAGGCAAGTCAGCAGGAGCTTTCTCTCATCGACCTCCTGCTATGGAGATGATGCCAAGTTTAGTTTAAGATAGGCTGACTACAGCTGTGTTATTTACATAGCTGCAGTTGTGTACCTTAAGCTGACTCCCCCCCTCCCCCCCCGCATAGTGTAGACCTGGCCTTAGCAAGAATCTCTGTTTCTTCATAGTGTGTATCATACAAACCTATAGCGAGCTGCTGCTACTGGCTAACCTGGAGCATTTGAACATCACATACTGCCTTCTCAACTTAAAACAAATATTTAGTTGTGTGGAAAAGAAGTGAGGTAGAGCTTCCCAGTAAGCTCTTTAGGGTCATATAAGAATGTTCCAGAGCTGGAGTTATTGCCTTGTTGTGAAGCATTAGTTAAATTTTTGGCACTGAACCAAAGAGATCTATGGAGAAGGAGCCAGACTAAATATTTGGAGTTTATACCCAACTCCAATTTTAGCATACTCCTTCACAGAGAAGCCAAACACGGTGTTTAGGGGATTTACACCTCCAGTAAAAACGCTCCAGTAACTGATTTGCTTCCCGAGACTGCTCTTTATTTGTATGTTTAAGAACAGAACAAAATAACTACATTTTAAATTTGTCAAGTTTAAAAAATAAGCTCAGTCTTCAGAACACAAAATTTACTTTCCTGAGGGGAAAAAGTAATGCAGCCAAAAATACATTACAAATGCTCAATCATGTTTCAATCTATCAATTGCAAATGCTTCCAAATACTGTGGTAAAATTAAAAGTAAAAGCAGCTCTTTCTCTGTTTCCAAATAGTTTTGGATCCTCCTTATTGGGTCTTAAAAAAAAAAAAATCAGTCCAAAGATAGGGGTGGTGATTGCACTTCCATAAATCATTGTTTTGTTAGGACATGAGTGCAGAATAAATTGGGGGATAGAGGAGCGTGGTCTTTGCAGGGAAGTGCAGAGTTTATAGAGGGCAAGTTTCCTTGGTTTTCCTATTTATAAATAAACCACTGTAGGAACTGGTCACAAGGTCAAACAATGTGAAATACTGTTTGCATTATGTTCACAGTGTTGGTGAAAGGCCAGGTCACAACCAAGTACTATCGACTACTGTCCAAGCATGGAGGCTGGGTTTGGGTACAGAGTTATGCTACCATTGTGCATAACAGCCGTTCATCACGGCCTCACTGCATAGTGAGTGTCAATTATGTCCTTACGTAAGTCAAAATATTTTGTACCCTTAAACACATTTATCACTACTTAATTATTGCTAATTTAATTATTTATCTATGTTTATTGTATTAATTTCTTCTGGTATCATCCTGTACAGGTTGGACCTCCGTGGTCCAACACCTTTGGGACCTGACCCGTCCTGAATGAGACACTTTGCTGGAGTGGGGAGGTCCACTGCCCACTCCAGCCACACTGCCATTGGGCTGCAGCCCTGCTGCTGCTGGGTTCAAGCACAGCAGGCTGCCTTGCGCTCCCTAGAGACGGAGCTCCACAGTCGCCATGATCCTGCTTCTGCCGCACCTGGCCGGGACTCCCCAGGGATGGGGCTAGCCAGTTCCACTGCTGGCCTTGCCCGTAGGGCTCCCTGCCTCTGGACTCCTGGCTGGTTTGCATTCCCCAGCACTGGGAGTCTCTGGTCCAGCAACATGTTGACAGTCCCGAATTTAGGAGGTTTAACCTGTATACAATCTACAGTCATTTATCTTTCCCCAGAACCCCTCTCTTTCATTTGTAGAAGAAATCGTATAAATGAAACACGATAAATTGAGTTACCTTTACACACTACTAACTTGCATCCAAAAGAATCCCAATGACTTTGGGATGAACATGTCACATGACTGGTAATTAATTGGGTTATCATGGAGCCTAGAGGCAGGCTGTACTTGTGATCAGAACCTCTGTATGCCAAGCAGAGTTTCTGCCCTGAAGAGTTTACAGTTTAACTAGACAAGACAAAAGGAAATATTATGCCAGTTTTACAGGCAGGAAACAGAAGCACAAAGATCAGGGCTGGGCAAGATGTGGCCCGGGGGCGGATCTGGTATACCTAACACTTTGATCCGGCTTGCAGACTGCATCTGGCCACTTTCTGCTTATATCCTGCTGCCTATGTCACTGAATTTCCAGGTGTGGCTCAGGCAGCAGGATCCTATTTAAATGGCTAACAGCTCCCTGTCACAGCACTACTCCTGCAAGGGCCAGAGCCATGAGCCCTTTGCTGTGTTTATTACTTCAAAGCCTCCATCCCTAGAAAATTCTGTATCATTTATGAATGTTAGAATCATATGGTAGGAAGAAACCTCAGGAAGTCCAACTCCCTGCCCAAAGTAGCACCAACCTCAACAAAATCATCCCAGCCAAGGTTTTGTCAAGCCAGCACTTAAAAACCTCTAGGGATGGAGATTCTGCCACCTTCCTAGGTAACCCGTTCCAGTGCTTCACCACCCTCCTAGTGAAACAGTATTTTCTAGTATACAACCTAGACCTTCTCCATTGCAACTTGAGACCATTGCTCCTTGTTCTGTCATCACTGAAAACAGCCTCTCTCCAGCCTCTTTGGAACCTCCCCTCAGCTAGTTAAAGGCTGCTATCAAATCCCCCCTCACTCTTCTCTTCTAAATGGACTAAATAAGCCCAAATCCCTCAGCCTCTCCTCATAGGTAATGTGCCCCCTAATCATTTTGGTTGCCCTCCACTGAACCTTCTCCAGTGTGTCCACATCCCTTCTGTAATGGAGGGGTGGAGGAGGGAAGCAGAGTTGGACGCAGTACTCCAGATGTGACCTCACCAGCACCAAATAAAAGGGAATAATCACTTCTCTAGATCTGATGGCAGTGCTCCTCCTAATGCACACCAATATGCCATTAGCCTTCTTGGCTACAAGGGCACTCTATTGATTCTCATCCAGCTTCTCATCCACTGTAATCCCCAGGTCTTTTTCTGCCAAACTGCTACTTAGCCAGTTGGTCCCCAGCCTGTAACAATGCTTGGGATTCTTCCATTCCAAGTGCAGGACTCTGCACTTGTCCTTGTTGAACCTCATCAGATTTCTTTTGGCTCAATCCTCCAATTTGTCCATGTCACTCTGGACCCTATCTCTGCCCTCCAATGTATCTACTTCTCCTAGGTTAGTGTCACCTGTGAACTTGCTGAGGGTGCAATCCATCCTCTCATCCAAGTCTTTGGTAAAGGTGTTGAACAAAACCAGCCCCAGTATTGACCTTTGGGGCACTCAACTTGAAACCGACCGCCAACCAGACATCAACCCATTGATCACTAGCCATTTAGCCCGACAATCTAGCCAGCTTTCTGTCCACCTTACAGTCCATTTATCCAATCCATACTTCCTTTTAATTTGCTGGCAAGGATACTGTGGGAGACCATATTAAAAGCTTTGCAAAAGTCAAGGGATATCCGGTCCACCGCCTTCCCCAAAGTCACAGAGCCAGTTACCTTGTCATAAAATACAGTGAGATTGGTCAGGCATGGCTTGCCCTTGTTAAATCCATGTTGACTGTTCCTGATCACTTTCCTTTCTTCCAAGTGCTCCAAAGTGGATTCCTTGATTCCATTATTTTTCCAGGGACTGGAGTGAGGCTGACCTGTCTGTAGTTTCTTAGATTGTCTTTCTTCTCTTTTTTAAAGATGGGCACTACATTTGCTTTTTTTCAATCATCAGGGACCTCCCCTGATCACCGTGAGTTTTCAAAGATAATGGCTAACGGCTCTGCAACCACACCAGCCAATTCCCTCAGCACCCTTGGATGCATTATATTTGGCCCCATTAGATCTATTGAATAGGATTGGTCCCAGTATGGTCCAGTATGGACCCCATAATGGAGGACACCATTAGTTATCTCTCTCCATTCTGAAATCTGACAATTTATTTCTATTCTTTGTTTCTTATCTTTTAACAAGTTATCCAAGAAAGTTCCCTCTTAAGTAAAGTAACTTGTTATAAGTTAAGAACGTTTGGTGAAGGACCTTGTTAAAGGCTTTCTGGAAATTAAGTACACTGTACCCACTGCATACAGTCCAGTCCCTTTACAGAAACCATGTTGACTTCCTCCCCAGCAAGTTACATTTAATTTATGTGTCTGACCATTCTGTTCTTTACTATAGTTTCAACTAATTTGCCTGGTACTGACATTAGACTTACTAGTCTGTAATTGTCAGGATCATCTCTACAGCCTTTTAAAAAGATTTGGTTAAGACCTGAAAGAATGGATTTAAAAAAAAATCAGAACTGTCGCAATAAATGGAAAAACAAACCAACACACCAAACAACATTTCAGAAGCCCCACACCTGAAAGATCCAGATCTTACTGTACACAATTATCTAACATAATTTCTAAAATCTGCTGTATAGAACAGATTACATCTGAGAAAAGATAGATATCTCCTAAAATGAAACACTGCCAGTGATTCTGTGGCTTGGTTTGTAGTAGCACATTCCCTCTTTTATATCAGTATTCAGATATATCAGGGAACAGATGAACTCATGCTAGAGGAAGATGGGCGGACACTGAACTAATCTTTGCCCTACTGTTAGATCCACTCCACACCAGCATTGTCCAAGACAAAGTGCCACAGGATGAAAAAAGAGTTAGGAGAGCTTAAATTCAGATGTTAAGGGATGTTTTAATACCAAGGTTGCAACCTGTTCCTGGTGAAATTTTTGCATTCCTCTTCTGTGGCAGTTGTATCAGTCTTTCTGACTCATTTCCCCCCCAAACAAGTTCTACCACTGCAGACTAAATGAATATTTTGGGTGGACAGTAATGAAAACATTGTGGAGCTAAATTATTTTCAAATATGAGATTTTTCATTTGTTCACTACATTGAAGTATTTAACCTATCACAATCATTCTTTTTCAGAGATATTGAGTATAAAGAACTTCAGTTATCACTGGACCAGGTTAACATTTCTAAGTCACAGTTTTCATGTAGGAACTCAATGCCTACCTCACAAGAAACAAGAAAAGTAGCGAAACCCAAAAGTAATAAAATGAAGGCAAAACTCAGAATGACTCCTTATCCGCAACAGGTAACTTTCACTAATACTCAACTACAAGTACAGAGAGCATTTGTGGGAATAGCTTGATCATCATGAGATTTACCTGCTGATAGCAGAATGGTGCCAAAAAAATCCCTTGAAATTCAAGACTTGTCCTTTTTTGGGGGTCACGAGAAGGCCATTGTAAATGGCACAGCAGAAATAGAGAAAACATGGGATTGGGCAAGGAGAGTTTTCAGGGTTATTTGGCTGTCATTCAGAACTCAAAGGTTTTGGATTTTAGATTTTCAGATTTTGGCAAAAAAAGAACACTAACTCAGAACAGATACTGTCTGGCTTATTTGAGCTGGTGTAAAAATACACCAATATTTATTTGCTAACTAAGGATCTGGCTCCAAATTAATGTTGTCAGCTTCCTCATGTAGCAGAGTATAGCTTGGTAGATAGGATGCTGACATGGGATTTAGGAGACCTTGGTTCAATTTCTGGTCTGCTGGGTGACTGGGCAAATCACCTATTCTCCCTGTGCCTCTGTTTCCCAGTCTATAAAATAGGGAATAAGAATATTGACCTCCTTTGTAACAGCCCTCGGAAATGATAAAAACTGGATTTTTTATGTATCAGAAATGGGGAAAAACTAACATAGTGGGAGCCAGTAAAGCATGTATAGGAAGTTTGTGTTGTGGTATTTAACAGACATAGAAAGAACAAATCTTAATTTGCCAACTTTTCAAAGCTTCCCACATTAATCTTTTTAACATAAGCAAATGACACTCATATGTCATTTAATCAAGATTACCTGTTTTCGTGACAGTATATCCTTTGATCTCTATGTACATAACAGCTTTCCTTGCCCTTAAGATGACTTGAGGCAGTGCCGAAGTTATTTTTCTGTTACAACAAAATTACTGCTATTTTTAGTCAGTGAACAGTATTCTCAGGTGGCCCCCGACTTGCGACGCGATTGGTTCCTAGGGAAGCGTCACAAGTCAGGGGGCGTCATAACTTGAACCCACATTTACGATAGGTGCCATCATAAATGAAGGCTAAGGATGCAAATCGGGAGTTTTCAGTCCCTTCTGCACTTACAAAAATGGTCATAAGTGTGTGTGTGGGGGGGGGGGTCGCAACTCTGTCCGTCGTAACGCGGGGGTTTCTTGTATTTACATAGCAGCATGTATCCTGAAGGATCTCCACGGAGTCGCAAACCTGCCATTTAAAAGGATCTCCACAGTTTTGAAAAGCAGCCAGTTTTTGTGTACAGTGTACCATTTGGTGTACAGTATTCCTTACACCGTGATTAAACTCTGTCGAGTTACAAAATAGAGGGGAAAGTTTAGATAGGCATAATAATCTGGTATTGGCCACTGTTGGCAGACAGGATACTGGGCTAGATGGACCTTTGGCCTGCCCCAGTATGGCCATTCTTATGTTCTAATCTGAGTAAGATTTTTGACTGAACACTATGATTAAGGGATCAACTCTGGGGAAAAGTCACATGGAGTTTTTAATATAAATTGATCAGTAGCCTTATTTCACAGCAACTATATACTTTAATACAGTGCCTTTGTGGGAGATGTTTACTCAGGGAAGAATGCTATCTACTGAGACATTGACATCATTTGCATCACCAGTTTTCCTTACAACTTCAGTGTCAAAGTATTGACCCGCCTCAACACTACTTAGCTTATGAGATTTAATGAGGTCATAGTTCCAGGTGGCAGGGCTGGAGGCTACTACACTGCAGTGTTACATGGATACAGTTGAACACTTTTATTTTTCAGCAATTCAGTTCATTCCAAACAGACAAACTGGAATGTGGCCAGGTTGGAAGCTGGAGATCCAGCCCTCCAGGGAGTGTTGGCACCATACAAGAACAGAACTTCCATTCAGAAAACAGTGAACTTTTGTATGCGCCCTCGTATAGTTTGCCTTTCTCTTACCATTATGGACACTTCCCTGTAGAGTCTCATGTCTTCAGTAGCAAAAAACAAATGATGCCTTCTAAATGTGGGCAAGCTCAAGGATCACCTTGTGAAGTGGCTCGTTTTTTCTTGAGTACGCTGCAGACAAGTGGAGAGCGCCAATGGCATTACACCAATTCTTTAGTACCCACCAGCCAGTCGCCATCTAAAAATCTTCCTGATCAAGCAGTGAATATCGCACGTCATAATCTTGCACAGAGTTATGAAGGTGAGTGTTGTTTAAAAAAATAAGCAGCATAGCACACAGATATTTTTAATGGGTATGTTTAAAATATGAAATATGGAACTGAACACAAAAAAAGTGTGGGTTTAACATCCAGAATGTTTAGAAGGTATGCTGTCATGACATTTAGACCTACTCTTTTACCCCTTTGAACACTTGAATAGGAATTTCATGTAGTTTAAAAAAGCCAATGGGTTTTTGTTAGTTTGTAAAACAAAAAAAAGCCATGAGTGTAAATTTTCATAAAAGCCAATTCTTTTACAGGACAATTCCCAAGGTTGTTCATACAGTTAGTTTAAATGCAGGTTCAGAATGTGCCAGCATGATCAGAAAGAAGTGGAAGTACTCACATCTGCACCTACAACTCAAACGCAAAAGCCAAAGTACAGGCGTGATTGCATACATACAAAAGGGAAGCCATGCTTTTCAAAAATGTACCTATTTTTAAAGTATTAGTCTTACTGTTTCCCTAATTAATGTAATTAGTAAGTGTTTTTAGGATTGAAATTAATGGGAAATTGTCTTGTTTACTAATTTTCTTCGGGCAATGACTTCACTGATGGGAGTTGTTCCACCTGACCACAAAGATGGGGGCAACTCAACTCAGGATGTTGGCCTCTTCCACCGAGCAACCTACAGAAGTGTACTCTTAAGGCTTTAGGAAATGGTATATGAAAAAATAAAATAAGAGGGTGAAAAAAAATCAGTCCTCTCCTTGTGTGAAATAGGTTTTAAATATTTCTTTACTCAGTGGTTAACTGCATACATCACTCTGCAGAAAAGAAAAACAGTGGTAATGGGAGCCTGCAAGTAACATAGATAAACTGGAAACCACTAGTTAAGACTGAATAGCAGAGATATTTCCAGAAGAAAGGAAGTTTACCATTCTTCTGTGCAATGTCTTGACTGGTGGGAAACCATGAGACAACAGATTGGATCAAAAGCTTTTAGTGAGCCCAGGATTCATTCACCTGGGCACCCTGTTCTGAAAAGTGATGCCTGAAGATGCAGGACGATTGATTTTAATGTGACTGACTAAACTGGCTTTCAAGTAATATCTGTGGCCTTACTCATCTCTGCCATGAAGGCCAAAGCAGTCTGTGGCCATGATATTGCCATGTTCTTTAGTGAATGAGTCTTGAAGACTTTGTGTATCTTGGTTCCTGAGACTTTGTATCCAATTTGCAAATACAAGTCTACCTTTGCATTTTGGGTGAAAAAAAACAACAAGGAAAGAGTTCCGTATTGCCTTGTTCAATGTAAATACATTTTCTGAGCAAAGTGGACATTAAGGTTATTCCAAACTCCTCTCATGAATGTTGTGAATTTGCATAAGGTGACAAGAGTACAGTTTCTTAACTAGTGTGAAAAGGTGTATTTATTTCCAGAATAAAATTGAGGGGGTAGAGAGAGTTGACAGGAAAAGAGTCCAGAATTGATTCTTCGCCATTGTAAAAACAGCTTCTACTCCACACAGTTCAGCCCTAGGAAATGAGCAGTAAATGTCTTATGTTATTACAAGAATTGCACTGCTTTTGCTTGGGAAAGGAGTCATTTTGTCTGTTAGAGTTTATATACTGTTTTGTATGAAATTTCCAAAAAGAAGTATTTGCGAGATAATTTTTGATAAGTAAAAGGAAAAATTAAGTCCAGCATGCTGGACCAAATTTTTCTATTAGTCAGGTACTGCATCTGAAATCCATGGAAATGGTGTGTAGTTGGCTTCACTAGTGTCTGTAGCAGTACTGTGACTATTTTAGGTGTATGGATGTCAGCAATTACTGAAGGGTGAACCCTAAGTAAGGATACCTACACCATGGCTGGCAGTGTGATTTCCAGCATAGGTTGACAGATATAAGCTTGTTCTGTTTGAGCTAGCATGCTAAAAATAGCACTGTAGCTTGAGGTAACGGAGGCAGCAACTTGGGTACAAACCCACTCATACCTCTACGTTACATACCAGGGATGTTAGGACAAGTCGACTATCTGATATCCCTTCTCTCCCTTTCCCCCCTTGCTGCCTCTGTCAGATACTTCAAAGCAGCAGCGCCACACAGCTGAGCTCAGGATCAGCTGTGCAGCGCTGCCACGCCTGGAGCCCAGGGTTAGCTGAGGACCCCAGGTTCTGGAGAAATGCCACGTGGAACCCGTGGTCAACTGGGGAGTCCCCAGCTAATCCCGGGTTCTGCTAAAGTGCCACGCGAAGCCCGAAACCCCAGCTGACCCCGGGCTTTGCGTGGCATTTCAAATCTGCAGTGCAGCATGGAGCCCAGGTTAAGTGGAAGAGTCCCGCTGAGTCCTCCACTGACCCCGGGCTCCATGCAGCGCTGCCGACTCTTGTGCATTTCAAAGCTGCCACGTAGCGTGCAGCCCAGAGTCAGTAGGACTTCCCAATGGGGCTCTTGTACCTTTCAAAGGAGGAATGTGGAAGTGCCTATCGACTAGCCGAGTAGTTGATCAAAATTCCATCAACTACTCGACTAGTAAATTAACCATTACATACATGAGTGGCTTCCCCCAGCTAGACTGCTATTTTTAATATGCTAGATCAAAAGAAAACCTAGTGCTTCTGCCTGCACTGGTAAGCACATCCTAACTGTAATGTTGCCATACCTTATAAGATGTTGGGTGAAATTTTTGAAAGAGCCAAGGTCTGTTTTTCAGAAGTCACTTAGGAGCCTTACATCAAATTAAGCACTGTCCATACCAGCACTGTGTTGGTGGGAGATGCTCTCTCAATGACATAGCTTCCGCCTCTTGTGAAGGCTGAGTTTTATGCTGACAGGAAAACACTCGCCCATTGCCATTAATGCATCTTCAGCAGATGTGCTACACAAGCAATCATGGTGGTGCAGAATAGAAAGCTCAGATTGTTACTAACTAGAAACAGCATTTTATATTCTGGCTGAATATTGCTTAACTTCAGTCAGAGAGGATAGAACTAAAATAGGTAGGTAGCTTCTCTCATTATTGTAGGCAAAATGGCATGAAACAGAAATGCAGTGTGAGACAAAAAGAAAACAATGCAACCAGTTACTGACTAATGAATCCTTAAACCCTGGACAGAATAGAGCTTATTGAGAAAAGATCTAGCAGACATTTTTGTGTTTCAGAGAGATAGATGGATGAAACCAAAATACCACATTCAAATATATCTGAAGATATTCTGGGATACCCAGGATCCAAATCTGACTTTGCACCTTAGGCTCATCCATGATTTAATATTCTGACCTTCAAACATTAAGTTTTTGGACTGTTTTTGACCTATCAGAATCTCTCTTAAAAGCAAAAAGTATAATATTATTATAGTAAATTGGCATTTCAGCTTCTCTGCTACAGATATTTTTAATGTCTAATGCTAGATTTTGTTTCAAAGAAACAATTTAAAAAACCAATAAAGGACATAAGTCTAGATCCCTTTGTTGATGGCTTCTGTAAGGGTGTATCTAGACTACAGGGTTTTTTCGAAAAAATGTGGCCTTTTTCCGAAAAAACTTCCCCTGCATCTAGACTGCTGCCACGTTCTTTCAAAAGTAAATCGAAAGAATGCAGCAGCTTTTTCGACCGCAGAAAACCTCGTTTTATGAGGATTAACGCCTTTTTTGAAAGTGCTCTGTTATCTAGATGTTCTTTTTCGAAAGAGGCTTGCAGTCTAGATGTAGCCTAAGAGTCCAACTAATATTTCCTCCCAAATTGGCAACAAGAGTCAAGTCCTGTTTGACTCACAATTGCATACATAATACAAATGTAACGTATTTTGGGGATAGATTTTTGAAACCTTCACAAAGAAGTTTCAACAGTATAAAATTTTGATACACTTGATTTGTTAAGAGTCACACTAATATTCCTTTTTAAATGTTTAAGTCCTTGTTAAATTTCCTGATTTAATCATTTTTTTAAAAAACACCAATTTACAGTCTTTTAGACAATGAGAAGTTCATTTAACAATGCAATCAAAACATTTGCCTAGTTGAAAAGTAGAAATGTGGAGCAACTAAACTATCAGCTGCCTTACACACTCTTTTTTCAGCACAGTCAAAGGGTCTGAGTCAAAGCTACTAAAGTCATCCAGTTTTGGATAAAATTCAAACTTCGCTGGTATTAATATTAAATTTTAAAAAGTGATTGTCTCTAACACAACTCATAGTACATGAGCTCCATTCATCAGCAATTAATATTCTTTATTTTCCCTAAAAGTGCCCATACCTAACAGAAGATACAGCCAAGATACTACATGTGACAGCTTTACAAGCTCTGCAACATCCATGACAAACACCAGATACAAAGAAGAGATTTACAACTCCAGTATCACGAAACCCAGCAAAATGGAAAGCCGATTACATTCATCTCATCATCTCATTAAAGAAGAAAACAAATTAGCTTTCAGCAGAGACCTACAAGAAAAAGTGTTTATCAATGAAAAGACTTTTTCAAACTCCATAGCTAATTCTTTGTTACCAAAATCAGAATGTTTCCAGGCTAAAGCTATTGGACAATTAAGTCATCTCCTGCCAGTGCCAACAGTATATGAACAAACACGGAGAATATGTATGAAAGAACCAAGATATGGGCATATTAGCCATCATGCTACAAATCTGGATGAACTAGACAACAGTGACAGAATGACAGTAAAGCTTGATCATGATTCTGAAAACGAACACATGATGGATACCAGAACTACTGGACAAGTCCCATTTGTATTTCTCAACTATCACCATGTTTTAGCCAAACATGGTACATTTCAAACTTCATCGTGTACAGCAACAGGACATGTAGCAGAAAATTATGGATACACTTCTGAAGAGGTAAATACATTTATTTATAAAAACCAAAGTCCATCATCAGCCTCTTCTCCAGAAACCCATAAGGAGACTGCACTACCCCATTATATTGGAACGTCTGTAATAATAGCCAATGGGAGGTGACAATAATAGAAACATATATCTTAATTAAAAACAAATCCGAACTGTAATGATTTCTAAAAAGCATGAGAAAACATGGCTACATTTACTGAGCATGGCAGAAGGTCAGTGAGAGAAACTTGTGTGTGTTCTTGGCAAGTCATGTGTAATAGTACCTTAAAGGTCAAAAAAATACACATCTAGCTTCAGTGCTTCATTGTTACAGATTAACTTCTGGTGTAGAGTCTGCTAGTAAGAAGCCATATAAAGATCATATTTTTGTTATTTTACAACATGTAATACAATTAAAGGGTGTTATATGCCTAGAATTATACAGAGACAACTATTTTTTCTTTTTTTTAAAAACAGGACTCTAAGTATATTCAAGATTTTTACCATTAATATAAACCATAAAATTTTGTTTAAATGTTATGACAGACACTGTGAAATATTATAGCAATTTTGCATCTGTATTGTAAATGATCAGACAAATGAACTGTGTATAAAACATGGTAATTAATCCTAAGTATCCATGAAATAACTGCATGAGCTAGTGACAAATCACTGTGTCTTGGAATGCTTATTATTTTAATAGTCTAAAACAAAGTTTGATCATTCTAGCTTTTTGATATATTTTAACATGGAGTCAGGAATTCATAGCTTGTTGCAATCATGGTGTATTTCAGAGGGATGATAAAATGTCAAACTCAAAGACACAAGGTATATATTAATTGATTTTGTCATAGCAAGACTGGCACAACAAAGTCATACAGCAAGGACTGAAAATTACTCTCAACAACAACAACAAAGCTATGATAAAAAATAACTTTTTGAAGTGTGTACCAGTGGGAGGAGAATGTGAACTTTTTCAAACAAATTAAGAGACCATCGTGATAGGAACACTAGAAATTTTTTATTATAGATAAGTGAAGGAAATAATAAAGAGAGTTCAGTGAAACCTTTACAAGCTTGGTTCAAATCGTGTCCACAATTTCTAAAGTCATGAAAACGTTCAGGTTTTAACAAGCTGGTCTCTCTCAAAGTGAATTCTTCTTATCGACCCTAAGTAAAGATTCGGGTTTAACAGATCCCCTCATACCACAAAAAACTTTGATGGACAGTTTGGACATACGAAACATCTGCAAGTTACAAAAAGCTGTTGGAGTACATTTGTGTTTAGAGCTGACCATTTGGCACAGCTCTCGTTGTTAGGTGTAGTCAATGACATCGAGGAAAAACATTTAAAATTAGCAGAAAATCCCCAGCTGCTTGGTTATGTTTAGTATTTTCAATAAAGTACCAATTTTTAATTTTTACCTGTTCCTATGATGTACAAATTTGGAAATAAAGAGACATAGGTTTTTACAATAGAGTTACAAACACCAGAGTTGCAAACTAACCAGTTAACCATACCCCTCATTTGGAACTGGAAGTACACAATCAGGCAACAGCAGAGATGCCCCCTTACCTGAATATAGCACACGACTAGGTTAAATGTAAACTACTAAAAAAGCAAAGCAAAGCAGCACTTTGCCTTCTGTATAATAAAGTTTCAAAGCTGTTAATGTTCAGTTGAAAACTTTCGAGAGAACCATGTTTTGTTCAGTTGCAAACATTTCAGAGTTATGAACACTCTCTAAAGTTCTTCTACTGCATGTATGTTCTGCAGAGTAGACATGATCAGCATACAAAGCCTTCTCCATCACCTCCCCAAATTCTTTATGCTCTTGAGAAAATGACGAACGATTCCCTAAAATGTAAACATTAACAAATGGAAACAATGGAGCCAGATTTTTTTTTAAATAGGACGATTGCACTGTAGACTTGAATCTGCAATATTTAGCTTCATTTTTTAGTTCACTTGAAGGCTAGATTACATTATAAAAGCTTTTATCTGCCACAGCTAAATAGAAATGTCTCATGCTCTGTAGGAGTATCGCTAAAGAAAGTACTCATGTCTTGTGCAATATGGAAAAATACATGCTCATGAATTATACCTTATTAAAGACAAATATGTTAAAAGTTGTTATAAAATATAAACATTTTTAATCAATAAAGAATTTTCTGTATTTCATACACAGCAACAAAATTCATTCACCTTCCTAGGTTTTTATGAATACTTAAAATAGTAAATGTTTAAACACAGTAAGCAGAAATGCTTTAAAGATGTGTGTTAAAAACAATTTTCTATATTTTTACTGCCTTACTATGAAAAGATCAATAGCATCAAGAAAGCCTTATTTTGCAAGTCATCTGATGCATTCAACTTGCAAGGTCACAGTTAACTTAGTTTTTAAATTGCATAAAGTACTTTTTTCCTTTGCCCTTGCATACTTTCATTATAATGCTCAACAAAAGTATTTACTAGTAGTTACTAGAATTTTGATGCCTTTACAAAAATGTAAGTGCACTCTGTGCTTCTCTAAAGATAGAAGGGGGGAGGGAGTCAGGTCTAAAAGGAATTTTACAAGTGATTCCGATTAAGGGTATTGATATGATTAGATAGAAGTGTTTTGTTTTCATTGTTTAATTGACCTTCCAAACTGGTATTACTAATAGATGTACCCAGTTTAATTCCTGAAAGAGTCATGATGCCAAAACTTGTGTGTTAATATTTTAATATTAAAAATGTCTGTCAATGAGCAAACTAACATTGTCTGCATTGTTAAAAGGAAACCTGGTGAGCAACACTCTCATACTGCATTTTGTTACATATATCATTAGTAAGGTGTGCTGCACACAAAAATCAGTATTTCTCTGTTCTCCTGCATAGGTCTTCATTATGAAAACATGATTTCAGAAAGGTACAAATTTAGCTTTAGGTTTTTTTAAAAAGTACAATACCACAAAGCATTTTCCAGCATCTACTTTGTTATTTATATTTTGTGCCTGTATTCAATGAATATGCATTATAGAGGTGTTTCATCATTCTGCAGATGTTTTACAATATATGAGGTTCTGATACATAGAGGGTTATAGTTAGAAAATAGAGAATCAATTATGCATTTACATATGATAATGTGGATTAAGTTTCAGAACATATATTTGTAACTAAAAAACCAAATGTGCAACATTTTCCCAGGACACCCCAAAATAGAAACACTGATTGCATATTCACATCTGGAACATGAATGAAGAATTCTATAAAGTAGGAGTTTAGATATATACTTTGACAGTTAAAGGACAGATGTTCACTGTGCATTCTCAGCACGGTATACGGTGCAAGAATTGAGGGCAATTTTTTTAATATTAGGAAAATATTCCACGTAGGTGGAGTGTAAATCAGAATATGCTAGGGGAAAAAATTTCATTTCCCTTCTCTCTACCTTATTCATTTGAGCCAGAAATACTTCATTGTGCTACTCAACAGATTTTTTTACTTCTTAGGGGGATTCTTGGCATGGCAAGGAAAGTACGTAAAGAGAAATATAGTGCTTTAATGAAGAAAGAAATTGGAAACAATCATTTATTGGTGTCTCAAAGTTTGTATGCTATTAGCAGAAATATCACAACACTAAGTGCAGTAATGCACTTTTCTATTGAATACAGCCCTGAAGTTTCTAAAGAGTTACTCAGTGGATTTACTCATTCAAAAAACAGTGATATGCACAACTTAAAGGTGAGAAAATAAAGCTCACACAAAGCAGATGCTATTTTTATGAAAGAATGGGATATCTGCTGGAATAGTAGTACTTTTCTGAAATTCACAAAATGTTCCAGTAAATGTATTTTTTCAATCCATCTCAGTTATTCTCAGAACACGTGTGTTTGGGTCCACTTTCCCCCAAATCATTATTTTTTGTAATATGATGCAGAAATGAAGCATTTGGCAAATACATGTGAAAAGTAAACAAAAAATACACACACACTATTAATGATCAAAATTATGCATGTAATTCTTAAAAATAAAGCATCTTTTGCTTATTTATTACATAAAAGTGTTCATAAATACTCTAGCCAAGAGTATTGGGTTTGACTTTTTAAAAATACAAGCATAAAGTGTAGAAGACACATAGCCATTTTTTTTGAACATTTAGATTTTTTAATTGTAAACACAGATTTGACAGCATTAACTTAGATTTTTCTTTCAAAATATAAAATACAAGGATTTAATATATTGTCTTCCAACTATGCATAGTAGTTTTATAGAAACAGCCTTAACTTCAAGGTCTGAAAATAATCTTATCTGCTGCAAAAAACCTACCAAGTGAGTATTTTAAAATACATCACAATTTATAGTATTTGATTGAAAATACTTTTCCTAAACTATTTGTGGGGCAATACAGTGTTAATTGTTATAATTCTTCCGTGTTTGTTCCCAAACTTTAATGGTGAAAATGCAGCTTCACCACAGTTTAATTACTAACATACCTGGCCAGTGTTATGCATACAGTAGCATAAATACCGCTGACAAATGCATGTGTGCTCTATAAATATAGCTCATCAGGAAATCAGTTAGTTTTAATAGGTTCTAATGATGGCATCTTACCCCACTAAGGGTGTGTCTAGACTACATCCTTCTTTCAACAGAGGGATGGAAATTAGGCAATTCGAAATTGCAAATGAAGCTGGGATTTGCATTTCCCGCACTTCATTCACATAATCGCATCATGGCGCTCTTTCAAAAAAGTACTATTTCAAAATTGAAACCGCTGTCTAGGTGCAGTTCTCTCAAAAAAAAGAAACCTTTTTGAAAGAGCCTGTAAATCTAAAAAATGAGGTTTACAGGATCTTTCGAAAAAGCGCCTCATTTTCGAAAGAACTGCGTCTACACTACGGTTTCAATTTTGAAATAGCACTTTTTTGAAAGAGCACCATTACGCGATTATGCAAATGAAGCATGGGAAATTCAAATCCTGGCTTCATTTGTAATTTTGAAGTGCCTAATTAGATCCCTCTGTCGAAAGAAGGATGTAGTCTAGACACACCCTAAAAGAGATATTACCTCAAGCTTCAGTTCAACCATGTAACTACTACTTTCCATGCCAAATATTTCCGAACTGTAGTTTGTGCATAACTAGGTGTGTCAGTTCCCCAATTAGTTTCAGAACTGGAATTTTTAAAATTTCTAAGATTCTATGGCTGAATCAAAGAGAGCAAAATAATCTTTAAATGCCTCCCACCGTCTGCCAGAAACCCACCAAAAGCAAAACATTTTCTTATCTGCAATAGTTGAGCTGGAGCATAAAGATTTAAACATTTTTCAATACAATTTTTAGCTAATAGCCCTTGAGGTATATTATTCTTGCAGAATATATATTTAAAAATGAACTAAACTCTTATACATCATTATAACAAGAGTGAGATGTGCTTTGATCTTAAGTTCTTAAATTTAAGTGCACGATATAATTTTAAAAACACTGGAAATGATTTCAGTTCTGTCTGAATAGAAAGACACTTTTAGACATGCCCACACTTGCTCAGAAGTAGTAGTGCTATCAATAAACAATTTCCATAGGTATTTTTACATCTGAGGAGTTTTACAAGTGAGGCCAGGGAAAAACCCTCAAATTAAGAATATAGGTCCCATAATGATATATTTTTGAAAGGACTTCATCAAGAAAATAGCTTGACAGACTAAAAATGAAATAGGTGTCTTACTAATCTGAACATTTTAATAGCATAGCACAATTTCAGTGCGATACTTATGGATGTTGGGATGTAATTCTACTTTGCCCATACATATCTATCCTTTTATCTATTTTGTACAAGGGATTTTTTTAATAAACAAGTAGTGGCTACACAAATATTCTGAGACTTTTTGCCATGTTTAGCACAAAACCAATGAGATTACTGGCTGTTTTCCCTATTAACCTTCAGATGAGAGTAGTATATATAAAAAGGCTTTCTTGACAAGAACAACTGCTAGTTAGAATGACCTTATTCAGCTGTTCTGTATAAAACAGGAATTTTCTTTGTAAAATTCTTTGGTATATCTGAAGCAAAAAGTCAGGTTTATGAGAAATATTCCATCGAACTCAAGTCTGTTTTTCTCCTCTCAAGACAACTGGTAGCCTTATATACACAAGAACAAGCCATTACAAAGCATAAAGGAAAAATAGTAATCCCACACGATCTATTTGTACTCTGACATGTCCACAAGTCATTAGTTTTCATTTACAAAAAGGAAATTAAATAATTTTCCAGTGCAGACATGTCCAGAACAGCATCACAGCTTAAAACATAAACAAAACATATTTTTCATTAAGTATCCCCTACAGAATTCCAAAAAAGCAATAATAGCAGCTATGAAAGACTGTTGGTCCTTCATTATATACTTAAAGTCATACATCTGCCTGCTCTAAGGTTCTGAGACATTTCAGCTAAAAGGAATTGTAAAGCAACTCAGCTCTGCCCATAAGGAATAGTGCATTTTCCCCTCAGTCTTTGTCCAGCTAGCTGGAAAGAAAAGGGTGTTGTCCTTCTAACAACTCACTTTCAGCAGATGGAGAGAAAGGGAAAGTTTACAGGTATGGACAGTTTGGGCAGAAAGTAGTTGGGGCCAGGTTAGTTGAGGATTTCTGCACTATCCTTCTTGCTGAAAGGGGGAGGGGGGAAAGGTAGGCTATGCCCCTAAGCGGGTTTTTACAAAAAGGCTGCCTGACTATACCCTGATAGTACCAGTCAGATTTTATATTAAGGACTGTAGCACAAACTTCTGTTTTCTAGAATTAATTCAGCAATACAAGAATCAGACTGGGAATGTACTGCTCTGTATTAAGGGGAGGTTTTCACAATGAAATAAACCAGACCAAGAAGAGCCAAGAGCATTGCTGAATTTACTTTTCACTACTTATAGCGGGAAATGCTGGCAAGTAGTAAAAAGCAGTGTCAAAATTCTGCCTTCTGCTGTTAACAAATAGCAACATGTATCGTTCATAAATTGTATGAAGAAAAGATAGAAAAGAAGAGACGAGGAGGCAAAAAACTATTAGAATAAAAGGGAAGCTGTAAATACATCACAAAAGTTCCTCAGCATTTAAGATTAGGAAGTTCAAAATTAAATTTGAGTATTAAAAAAAACAATACACATCTGTAAGTCAGTAGTCAAAAGTTCCTAGCCCAAAGCAGTATTAAAACTAAGCTTTTTTCTTTCTAACCAAAATGTTATGAGGGAAGTTGGGTATTACTGTTCATATACAGTATATTAATTATTACAAATACATCACTCAATATTTAGTCTTGATTGTGTTACTTCTCCCTTTTTTGGGGGTACAATGCTGTTTTATGTAAGGAACTGTTTTGAAAGGCAGAAAGAGAGAAGCTATGACATGGAGGTCAAAATACTTACTGTAAATACACAGAAAACTTAATTGCCAGCCATTTACTGACAATGTATCCAAATCCTAGTAAGTAAGGATTGACTCTAATCTACCATTACAGGTCAACTCTCCTCTAAGATGTCTTGGATTTGTAATTGAACAGATCTCCTTACATTTTCTGGTTATTTATGAAATGAACTTTAACCCATAAATTCCATTTCTTGCTAAACGACAGGAGTGTATTTGTGAGAACCCACTAGGTTTAGCCAAGCTTCGTAGGATAAGGGTGTAGTAATAACCAAATGGCAGTCCACATTAGAAGACATAGCTAACCCCTGGCTAGGTCACTAATTCAGGGGATTGGCTTGAGGTCAATGTTTGGGTGACCAAGCTGTAAATGAAAATATGACTGGACCAGAAGATCTTGAAAACCTATCAATGCAGTTGGGAGCTCAAGTTCAGCTTCTCATCTACACCCTCACCACATACTGATGGGATCTGACTCAATCAGTAAAGCTGTTAGGTATAAGTTGTAGTTTGGACAGCAGGGCACTTTCAAGTCAAAAAGCCTTAAATCCTTTGGGTTCAATTATTAAACCACAAGAGGCGGCTTGCTTTGGGACACGGTATGAAAGTACAATAAAGAGATTTCAAATAGAATGAAACAGAGGTCCCCTCACTATGCCTTTTTTACTGGAGTAGTTGCTAGCAGAGGAGACCATAAAGCAAGGTCCCTTCTCTTATTTCATCATTTAGATGGAGTTCAGCTCTCAGGGATTGAGTGAAGTACAGTCAACACTGCTATCCAGCCTTGCACCAAGGATTTGATGGCCAATTATAGCATAGGCAATGACAATAAGTGATTCAATAATTGGGCAATTTTGGAAGCGGGATAAGAGCTCTTGAAAGAAAAACCATGGTACAAGGAGGCATGGGGTGATTTACTAAGAATAAGAGCTAGTTAATAGGCTAAGAAAAGCAGAAAATAGCTGTATCTTGGGGGTTATTAATGAACCCAGTTCACAGGCACTGCTGGGAGGGGGGGGGGACATCCAAGCATAAGACCCACAAGAAAGGTGCAAAGGACTTACAGACCAGAGATCCAGTTACAGAATGAGGAAAGAATAAAGAAGGAGTGATTTAAAAAAATAGCTATCGGAAAAGACTATAGGTTTTCAGTAATGGGATAACACTTATTTGTGTAGCAACTTTCAACTTAACTATCCATGTTAATAAAGAAGTAACCAGAGATTGGTAAAAAACTATTTCTCCTAATCAGAAGCTATCTTTCATCGCTATACTTTAAAATATGCAACATGAAAAATGCATAGAAAATACAAACTGGTCATTAGGGCCACTAGAAAAAAAGGAGCAGAAATGAAACAACAGATGCTATTTGTGGCTTCTATACTTCACCTCCAAATTATTCATGTTTGATATACTGTTTATAGCCAAGTTCACCTGCTAAGCCCCAAATACTGAACAGTCTTCTTAGGGCAGCCTTTTCACCAACTGCAATGTCTATTGCTGCTTTGAAATGATAAGATTTTTCAGCATGTCAAATGAGTTACCATCTGGGTGCACAGACTCTACACCTTTGCCTTCTTCATGAACTTGAAGGAATCCACAATCATCTATTCCAACTATCCATGCTACTGGGCCCTCTTCACTCCAGAGATGGACTTGCTTACCACTTAAAAAAAAAGCATTGGTTATTACTTAAAAATACACTTTAACACATCACAAATATAACCAATTATATTAGCTACACATGAACTTTTCCCTTCTTGAAATGAAACAATGGTTGAAATTCACCAGAGCTAGTTGGGGATTTGATATCAATTATTAAAACAATTCAACATGGATAACTAACAAACTAAAACTATGATAAATAGTACAGGGAAAGCACTGTGTTATTCTTCATTTCTCTGAATCTTTAGAGATAATGATCTTTAGTAGAGCTTCTTTATTTTCTCCATAGACCCCTTTTGCAGAATGCATGGTTAATTCACATTACACTTACAACAAAAAAAATGATAAATTAGGACAGCACTTCAACATAGGCAAAAAAACCCCAAAAAACTCCCTATAAACCTTGAACATTGTCTCTATTTTGTGGGATAATTCATGCAAGATCCCTAGCGAAACTGTATAATAAACACCAATACATTAAAATTTTGATCTAGGCTCCTCTAATATAACCATATAAATAATCAAAATATTTTCTTAAGTAAAACACAAGTAAATGACTACTGCTGTAAAAGGCAATATACTGGAACATTCACAATGGAAGGCAAGACACCTATACATTATTCCCAATTCTCTAAAAGTCAAGTTTAGGAAAAGAAGAATAGAAGAGACAGCTATACTTACGCGTGTATCCAGTATTTATAATATAATGGAAGAACTCCATTAGGTCCTTTCTCTTGAAACATGTCTATCAGTCTTTCCAGCACAGTTACACTCCTAGCAATCAGATAGTCTGTTGTTAAGGGCCTTAACTTTGTCATACTTTTCTTATTGTACTCCATGATGAGATCATTGATGCATATGGTGGGACTGCTATTATTCACATTAAATCCACAGCCTGAGGAAGAAAAGTCAAGAGTCTTGAGTAGGAAATGTTTGTTACTTCTTATCATATAACAAATGCATTTGTACTTTCTTCAACCATTTGGTGCAAAGCTTTCTAAAAGTTTTCAGCATTGTACCATCATTCATCAATCTCCTGTGTTCCCAAATCCATGTATGCTAATTATAGTCCAGCTAACATTTTATGTCCACATTCTCCTTTAAATTCCTTTCTGCCAATAAATGAAAGTTCAGACAGCCCCAATATGGTCCCATCAAGAAAATGCCACCTTGCCAAACTCATAATTTATGACTACAATGAAGATGTAGGAACCAGCAAGGTGCTAGCTGTGGTGTCTAGATTACCAATAAACTGAAAAATCGCTTAACCGTGGGATTGACAGCCAGCTACCAAAAAAAACCCTGAAAGCAGAGGATTAACCACACTATGAATGTAGCAGCCCAGAATGTGACTCTCAGTCTTTTCTATTTACTACAGTTAACTGATCTTAGTGTCTGAAAAATAAGACTTTTTCCTCAGCTCATAAGTCAGCAACTGTCTTTCTGGGAAAAGCCCTGAAGAGTCAGACTTTCAGGGTTAGATTCCAGATAGTTTAATCTATCTTGGTGTAGTATCCTTTTGAAGCCTCAAGTTTCTCACTGAGATCTCTCCAGCTAGGATGATACTGGCAAAATGCCATTCTTATTATATGGCTCTTGGGGAGCTTTCTTGCAGCTTTCTCAAAAAAGTTTTGAGAGATTTAAGAAAATTTTGTATTAACTATTTATAGTCTGCAACCCACATATAATGTGGATTTTCCTTTCCCATTGTGTAGGAAGCAGTAGGTTACATTATTTTATAAACATCATACTCATAAGGCCAAAAAACTAATTCATGTAGGATTACCTGGAGATAAAGGTGATTTTCAGGAACTAAGTTACTCAAAACAAAACAACTAGAATATGCACCCAAAATAGAGATCTACAGCAGTGTTTCTCAAAGTGATCCATGAAATCACTTTGAGAAACATGCTAACTGGCTGAACCGGTTTGTTTATTTACTGGTTCTGCGGTCACAGAGCCTTCAAATGGTGAACCAGAGCCAATGGAAGCTATGAAGCTTCGTGGCCACGGTACCTCTAAAACAAATCGGTGCAGCCAGTTAGCATGTTTCTCAAAGTGGTTTTGCAGAGCACTTTCAGAAACACTGATCTACGGTAGTATCTAGGAAAAATATATCAATACAATTGGAAGTAGAGTGAAGTGGATCATCTAAAGAAGATAAGAAAAATTAACATAATACAGGCAGTCCACGACTTACGCGGATCTGACTTATGTCGGATCCGCACTTACGAACGGGGCTTTTCTCGCCACCCGTGTCCTCCAGGGCGAGAAAAGCTTCTCCCGGTCTCCCTGGTCTGCTGGGGGGGTCCAGCAAAATCGCTGGACCCCCGTAGAGTGAAGTGGATCATCTAAAGAAGATAAGAAAAATTAACATAATACAGGCAGTCCACGACTTACGCGGATCTGACTTATGTCGGATCCGCACTTACGAACGGGGCTTTTCTCGCCACCCGTGTCCTCCAGGGCGAGAAAAGCTTCTCCCGGTCTCCCTGGTCTGCTGGGGGGGTCCAGCAAAATCGCTGGACCCCC